TCGTTTAAGATTGATAATCACTTCAATCCTTTTTATCTTTTTTCATGGGAATATAATTGATGCAATATTATAGAGATAATTATTTATTTAGTTCCCTATTTTGGTTCATATTTGAGGAAACGTGATTAAAATGTGATTTAATTAACTTTTATAGCATTTTTTTACTTAGTTATGATTTTTGAAACCCTATATAAAGAGGATTATGGAGATGTAATAGAACAATTTGATTATATGAAATAAATTGATTTCTCTCCCTAATTTCTATCTTCTCTTCTTCCTCTCTTCCCCCCCTGCTTTCTCTTCTTTTCCCCTCCTTTCCCCTTCTCCTACAATTCTCTAATTTATGTCAAACCAACTAGAACAGAAGGGTTTAATCAAGCCTGGGTAGGTCTAAATTTTGAACTGTGTACAGCTAAGAGAGGTCTCCTGAAATGTAAACTGAGGCAATAATTTCACGGCATTTGGGCAGTAATGCTTACATGATATACTGCTGTGTACAGAAATTTGAATTCTGTAGGAATGGTTCTATTATTATCTTTTCCATTGTTAAGTTAGTGTCTAGAAGTCTAGGTATGTACGTAATGAATTCAGGCCATTAGATGCTTTTACGTGACTTTTCTTATCTGGCCTTTTTACGGTGTAAGCCAAATATCTAAGGACAAGGGGACTCATAATTGGAACTAAAAATTTACCCTGAAATTAGAGTTAATGTTCCAGGAACCACCCTAATTTTGAAGCCCCAGTACCAACTCCAAGTGGCCAAAATGTACATGTAGAATTTAGCATCTGACATATATAAAGATGAATAAAATTCATAATTTGACAGAGCGAGAAAACATGAAATTTTCCCATATGCATGTCCGTCTGTGCGTAAGAATAATAATTAATTACCAAAAAATTGTGAAAAACGGAAGCTCTGGGTTCCCAAGAAATCACTTCAACCCACTGATCTTTCCTCTCCTCGTCTTCGTCACCTCTTCACCAAATAAAAACAAATTCAGATCACAATTATACAGAAATCACATTAATTCAATGTCATTGTCGGACTCAAGTTAAATTCATACTTGGTAATGGTATTGCGGGCGATAGAGCTGAGATCGTGAGCTTTTGTAGAGCCCTTCGAACTGCCGGGAATCGACAGAATTCCGAGAGCCAAAAGGATTATAATGAGGAAAGAGAATATCAGGAGCATCGCGAAAATCATCATAGATGACGACGATTTACGCGGCGGAACTCTCCCATACTGCCTCCCCTTCACCGCCATCGACTAAATTGAGAATGTTACAAATTCAAATGTCGATTGGATCGAAAATGAGCACACTGGATTTTTAGGATCTGAGAAAAAAAAATAGTTGTATTCAGAGCGATAAATTGAACGATCTGTACTGAATTTGAGGGTACAAATACAATGGGCTTCCGTTGACAATCGAGAAGTTTGGCAGATACGTGCATTTTTAGCACCGTATTTTACAATATATTGTTAACAACATGTCATGTGGCGTATTATCATTAAACAATTTAAAAAATAATTTATCTTTTCAACTAATATTTTTTTTTTGACACACACAAAGTTATCAATAATGTTGTCAAAATGTATTGTACAAATGGCATTACCCTCTCTCCACAACGGGAAATTAATGAGAGTCGTACTGGCAAAGGCTTATTTGCACAAGTGGTACCTAACGTATCCAGTCTGTGTGGAAACAGGACCTATTGTTTGGTTATTGATGGCTACATCCTCATTTCTACCTTTGGATGTGGAATATGTCCTTTCCATCATCTATAGTGGGTCTTTAAGGTCCTCCGCTTTTACATTGGAGCTTTCCTTCGTTATAACTTGGCTATATCACCATTGTGCACCTCTTGTACATCTGCTCCCTCCCCAACCCCCTTGGATATGCAATCTCTGCTCTGCTAAGCTTATTAAGAACATTGACATATCTGCAGGGTCACCTCTCTCTCTCTCTCTCTCATTATGGGATAGTTGATTTCCCTTTCCTGTTGAGTAAAGCAACGGGTCAGACACTTGGTGTCTGGTGAGAATAACATGGTGTTAGTTTTGTTGGTTTTGCGAAGAGCATTATGCTTTAATCTCACTCTGAACTTCTCATGGAGGCGGAAATGCGTGACTCTGGTACACAAATAATAACCTCATGGATGTGTTCTTATCATCAACATAATGTTAGATAGGTGGCCATGTTGGCTATTGTTTGAGTTAATAGGACCGATCGTCTCGATGACCTCCCGTTTCGCCTTCTCCGAGCATTTCTTTCCATTGGAATGATTAGATTTTCATTCTTATATTTCTTGTGTTTTTATTACTACAAGACCCATTTCCAAACACACTTTCTAGCCTTGTGTTCCCCATGTGTGTTCTTCTCTTGATTATTTTAAGTATTATCATAGACGTCGTCAAATTGTTGACCTACGGAAATCATATTTTAAAGCTTGTGGTCAAGTTTCTTGGTCAATTTTTGGCATGATTTTGCTCCTTTTTTAGGTTTTTTAGGAACTAAATTGTTCATAGAAAAAAGAAAAATGGAGTTTTCGGCATACCGAAAGTGCTATTCAATGGAAGAATGTTAGAATTTCGAGAGGGTCCATCCGTAATTTCTCTATTCGATGTGAGTATAAGTTGTATCTTAGATTTTCAACCTTTTTAAGTTGTACAAATGACCTTGTTTATAGACTTTGTAAGGACCTTTTGGTTATTTTATGAGATAACATTTCCTTGTGTTGTGTTGAAAGTTATGATTAAGGCCCCGTTTGATTCTCACAGATTTGAGAATGAGAATGAAAAATATAGTCGTTATGGGATCCACACGAGATAGAAAGTCAAATATGGTAGCTTGATGTGATGGATATCGATCATATTTTTTATTTTTGTGGCCAAAGAATGAAAATCAAACGGGGCTAAATCCAAATTTCATATTTGTGTTGAAGTTTGTATTCTAGTGACACTTGTTTAGCAATTCATTATGTGCTCACATGAATTTGTTGTAATGAAATCTATGTTGATTGTGTTAGAACTTGCAATAACATTTTTGCCCATTTTTCGAGGCCCTTGGACCTTTTGGTGATCGAGACTATAATTTTCGTTTTAGAGTCAATTGTTCTAATAGTTATTGAATTTGGTTCTATATTTTTGATTGATCACTGAACTTAGCTCAATGTTTTCGATTGCTCACTAAACTTAGGTCAATGTCTTGATTGCTCATTGAAATTTAAAATGTCGAGTTTTGGTCACTGAACTTAGGAATAAGTCGTACGTTACTCGCTAGCATAACTGCTAAACTTTGAAAAATATTGAGTTTACAGTGAGGAATGTACAACATTTTTCAAAGTTCAGTTAGTAATGTACAACATTTTTCAAAGTTCAGTGAGTAATGTACAATATTTTTCAAAGTTCAGTGAGTAATGCGCAACATTTTTCAAAGTTTAGTGGTCAAAACTCGACATTTTAAACTTCAGTGAGCAATTGAATGTATGGACCTAAGTTTAGTGATCAAAACTCGATATTTAAACTTTAATGACCAATTAAAGATATAGACCTAAATTCAATGATCATTCGAACAATTAACTATAGGTTTTTAGGCAAGGCTATGATTCCGTGTGGCTTGCTTTTATATGTTGCCTTTATGTTCAATATTACTGCTTGTTTTATGTTTTAAGGCAGTTTTCATTTCAACTGTACCTATATGATAGAGAGGTGCAAATTGCAAGGACACGTGCACTGTAAAGGGTGCCTTTTGCTATGATCATAATTGTTTTAGCGTATAATAGTTAACATGGACCGCGTAAATAAGTGCCACATTTGCAACATAGACAATCTCTAGAAACTCATTTTCAATGCAATCTAATGGAGAATATGCTTTGGACTGTTTGATTTTTATTTTTATCAAAATATATTTTTCTCCCTCTTTTTTTTAATCACGTATTTTTATTAAAATAATATTACATGTAAATAAAAAAAATTTATTTTTTATCCACACATTTTCCATCAATCTACTATTTTAAAATTTATTTTTCCATAAAAATAGAGCTCAAACACCCTCTCAATTAACATGGCAAGAAAAATAAAAATAATTAATACTGTCAAGGGGTTCATCTAGATAAGAGGTTTTGCTAGTCTAAGTAAGATAAAAAGGCCCTGTTTGGTTTTTATTTTTATCAAAATATATTTTTCTCACTCTTCCTTTTTTTTTTGATAAGTTTCTCTCTCTTTCTTTAAACCATACATTCTTTATTAAAATAATATTATTCGTAAATTAAAAAAAATTCTTTATTTTTTATCTACACATTATCTATCAATTTACTATTGTAAAATTTATTTTTTCATAAAAATTAGTATCTAACACCGTCTAAAATTTAGCTAGTCTGAATAAGATAATAAAATTTAAACTTTCTTCCTTTCATTTCTTATTTTTCTCTTCCATATATATTTTTTTACAATTTTTGCTCACTTTTTTAAATATACGTTGGGATGAAATTTGAGTTACAAAACATGATTTATTAGAGATGATATTTGAACTCTACCATCATTAGATATCAATATTATGTCCTTATTTGGTAAGGATTAAAATCTAGATTTTAATATAAATTAAATTCAATAATTAATTTTAACCACATATTTTATAGGATCCACAATTTTTCAACCCCATATTTCATTAACTTTTTATCAAAATCTACTAAAAATTTATTTTTAATCCCCACCAACTGGGCAATATAAATAAAAACTTTTCTATTTACCTGCAAACTAAATGACAATTCACATCAAGCTTTGAAGATGCTCTTATTTAACCACATCCTACACTATGCAAATTTCAATGAATTGTGCACAAAGTTACAATTTCATGTAAAACAACATAATTTTTAATGATATTGCAAGAAAATTCAGAAAAATAATATTTCATATAGTTGGCAAATCAATAGGCATTTTCATTTCATTAATAGTACTTATTAAACCCTTAATCTAGTAACGTATGAAAAAATATGATATTTATGTTTAAATATATGATAATTAAACACAAAATTCATGACTCCCAAAAACAAAATTTAAAGGGATAATTGCAACAAAGATCCCAAACTTTTCTTCTTTTTTTTTTTTGCAAATTTTACCTCAATCTTCATTTTGTGTCACTCACGATTTCAAAATTTTTTTTTTTTTACCGCACAATGGTAAATGGATAGTCGACAAAAAAAGGTGAACTTTGACCCCTTTTTGACCAAATTCAAAAGGGTAAAATGATAAATTTATATTTTCTCAAAACAATTAAACTAAAAATAATAATAAAAAAAAATCCACCCCACCTCCAGCAACTGTTGCTTGTTTAGCTGCTCCAGAACACCCCCATAAACTTCACCATTTTCTTTATTGAATGTGGAAGCATCATCTCAATATTACTCGGCATAGATTGGAGGACACTAATTTGCACTTGGAGAAACTTTATATACTTGTACATCTCCTCTAGAACGGGTGCCATGTCCATTCTCTTATCCCAAGGCAAAAGCTTCTACAAACACCTTGTCTTATTGCTAATTCTTTGCTGCTATCGCTGTCTTGCTAGTGTGCTCGAAGGTACCACCTGTAAAGCACCAAGTCAATTATTTTTTTATTTCATTTATAAAAACATAGACTTGAAATATTACTAAATATCCTCTCTACCTAATTTAAGCAAAAATTTCTCTTTTTTTATTTGATTTGATCGATAAATTGATAAAGATAATCTAACGATTTAAATAAAAGTTTTCATATAAATCAACATATTAAACTACTACAATTTTTAAACAGAAATTCAAATTTAACATGGAATGTCCAAATCGCGAACACAAAAAAAAAAAAATACTAAAAATATTATGCACACAACTAAACATAAAGATGTCTTTAAAATAAAATTTGGCAACAATCATTTCTAACATTTTTTAATTGTGTGATTCCATAAGCATCATTCATTCAATTTTTCACATGCCCTCATGACTCGTTCTAATCTGAAAAGTTATTGTAAGATTGAGTATTTTGAAAATATTCAATAAAAATATGTGCATATTCTTATTAATATGATATAAATATAAAATGACATAACATACCGTCGTTTTTTAAATTAGAGCAAACTAGTCACAATATCCAATAACTCAAGGAATTTCTTAAGAATTTCTATATCTCGTAGGCTTTACACTTTTTACCAAACGGTCAATTCCGTAGGATCTAACATAGAAATCGATCCGGAGGCCTTATAGTATTTCATGCCAAAATTTATATAAACATCAAGAATAAAAATTTACCACTTTGGACTATGTATTTTTACCTCAATTGATATCACTGATTTTGAAAATATTCTTTGAGACAATAATTAAAAATGGGCAGAATGTTTGTAAGAGAATGAGAACTCAACTTGTGAAATTTTAAATGTGTTTGGTGAAATAAATAATGTCAAAGTCTTTCATTTCTAAGAGGTGTAGATTAGT